TAAAACAAAAAACAACAAAAAGTCCATCTGACGGAGTTGACACAGAACTGAAGGTGGTGACAAACTAGTGAGTAAAATGAAAAACTTGATACATGTGAAGTAATGTGATTTATGTAAAATATATTAAAATGAACTAATTGCACATTTAAGTGAGATCTGACAATTTCACTGAAAAAGTCACAAAAACTCTGATGGAGTTGACATCTGACAGAGTTGACGAAATGCCAAACTACCTCAATTTATATGATGTTATTCTGAAGGAGGCCATATTGTAGCTCATCAGGTACATGAAATCTTTACAATATACTAAAATTAAGCTTTTATTTCACAAAATTTTATCAAAGTTTTGTAAATTCTCAGTTATGGTGTTGACACATCATGGTTGTGACAAGCAACTTAGGAATAAAACAGAAGAAAAAACTAAAGAATAACATAAGCTAACCAGAGCTAACTAGCTCTCTTAGCAAAGGAAGAGAAAAGACGACGTCATGGGGTCCTCAGAAGTTCTGGTGCCCCCAATAATGCCTGATTTTTTTACATTCTTTTCATGTCTGACGGTGTTGACAAAAATTAGGGACAGATTTCAACGGAGTTGGAAAATATCTAAAAATTATTTTTAATTCAATTTATCGATACTTTTATAATTATTTATATGACTACTTATTGTCATATAATTTTAGTATTTCTTTAATTGTTTTAAACTATTACAATGTATTGAGTTCTGCTCCTGTACAAGGGATTTTACAGGCATCATCCACCTACTACAATGTTTAAAATAAAAAAAATATTCAGCAAACACAAGAAAAATATACATTGTTGTGCTCACATGGACCAGGTTAGTTTTGTGTATATTTTATTCAAATTTGGTGCTTTATCCATAGGACCTGTTTTGTCCCTATTCTCAAGAATCACTGATATTTGATATTCGCGCTCCGCGGAGTAACCGGCGTTTAGCTCAATGTTGATCCGATTTATGAACGCTACTGTCGGCCAGCGGTTCTCCACCGCTCCCGGCCCAGGCGCTCGAAGGTTCACTTAGGGACTGTCAACAAATTACCTAACCAAACACTCCTGTCAATCAAATGTTAATAAATGCCTTGAATTGTGACCAACTGACTAACTGTCACTGCTAATTCATGCTTTAACGTGAGACACAATATCCCCTATTAAATTTTAAAGTCATATACAATATTGTAAATAATTTTAATATTAAATAACTCGGTTCGCAGCCGAGTTTGAAGCGGCCGGGATGAGGATCAGTGCCTCCAAATCCGAGGCCATGGTCTTGAGCCGGAAAAGGGTAATGAACAATTTTTAAATTAAAATCGCAAACATTATAAGGATCTTTTACTTTTGCCTATAAGCTACGGTGCAATATTTTAATGAAACCGATTTTAAAAATAGGAAATGGATGTGTAAGTTATTGTCCAGCTAACGGTTGACATGTTTCTGTTTTTATGTCTTTTTAAGGTCCAAAACCTAAAAAAAGGTTTAGCATGTTTTGTCTTTATTAAATGCAAGGCATCAAGTCTGCAAATTATTATTATTATTTTTTTAATTAGGTTTGGGTATATCAAAGACAATGCAATCATATTTACAATAAATACTTTGGCCGCACTTCGGACTGTAAAAAAGCCTGATCCTCAGTATCTAATTTTCAATCATTTGGCCCACCCCATTTACCACTTTAGAGGTTAAAATATTGTACATTTTTCACCTCCATTTTGTCATACAAAAAAAGGTTACCAGAGGTTTGTCAACGCAAAATTGCACACAAAGGAAAAAATACTCTTCCATGTAAAAATGAAAAACATGTTTGTTTTTATTCGTTCGTTTTTTTGTTGTTGTTTTTTTTGTTTTTGTTTTTTTGTTTTGTTTTGTTTTCTTTTTATTGAATAATTCTCGACATTTATACTGTCAAAGGTCCTGATGTTGAATAAAGTTTAACAGAAAGAACAGAAGAAGAAATTTACGCGGCTGCCGCTGATTGGCCGAACGGTGTGTCACGTGGTCCGGAAGTGAAGGGTCCCGATGTGTTTCTGGAGTGCAGGAGGGTTCCGATAAGATTCTGCGGTGTTCGGCTGGATTTCCTGGTGGAGAAAATGGACACATTAAACAAACTGAAGCAGTTTGACGCTTATCCTAAAACTCTGGAGGATTTCCGGGTGAAGACGTGGGGAGGAGCGACCGGTAGGAGGCGAACCGATCCGAACCGCGGGGCTAACGGCTGTGCAGACAGCAGGGGAAACATTCGTTATTTCTGTATATCAGATCATATTCTGCTCATTACAGCTTAATTAGCCTATTGTAGCTACCAGTCTTTAATGAGGAAACCTGAACTCTTGTACTTTCTGGGAGTTTATTTCACAGAACTACTAAAAACTCAGTGGCACTAAGGCAGTTGTTGACACAATAGGTTTATTTGTGTATATTTTCTTTTTAATGATTGAGCCTGTAGTTAGTGGACCTGTTATATATGATCAGGTAGAATAGACTATAGCCTCGGTATTCTTATTTTCCACATCAAACAGCATGTAGATATCTGTTACCTTTTTAAAACATCAAGCTTTTCTTTTAAAACTCAATGGTTCAGTTAAAAGACGCAGAGAAATTAGCCTTTATGATCACAATATAACAGATGTTTAAAAGCAATAACATTTCATTAAAATTACAAGAAATGTATATGAAACGGCTACATGTTAATGAATTGCCTTCAGTGATTCGCAGTTTTTATTTAAATGCGCTAAATGAAGTTCACTGTCATTTTTTTACTAATTCTGCAGCTTCGAGTCAAAGACACCGAGTGCATAAAAATTCACTAAATCTTTGTACTTTCTTTTTATACTTTAGACAGAAATGGAGAGAAAAACACATTTAGGGTTGAAAATACCCTTTATATACTCCTCATGTAATAACAATCTAGGATTTCTCAAAATAAACAAACAAATGTGTTTGGTTGCATTAATTAAATATCCCGTTTTAAAAATTATATCATATTAATCTCTAAGGATAATGAGAATTTTATTGAAACAAATTATTCAACTATATTTAGGGAGGAGTGTCTTTAAAAAATACAAGAGATAAAAACTGGTTATAATAACCCTATTAGAACAAATGAACAAATAAATAATGTATAGAAATGCATTTATTCCAATTTTATTAAAAAATTATTGCATAAATATTTTGGGGAATATTTGTTGGAAAATAAACGGCAACTTTATTTATCACACTTTTCATAAACATGGACATTCAACATTCTTCACAGGAAAATATAGCAACAAAGAAAACTACATGAAAAACTAGAAATATCTCCATCCGTCCGTCCACCTTCCTCTGCCGGGGTCGGGTTGTGGGGTCAGCAGCCTCAGGAGGAGGCCCAGACTTCCCTTCCAGCCTCCTGGTCCGGCTCCTCCAGGGGAATCCCAAGGCGTTCCCAGCAGAGGAACATCGTCCCTTCAGGGGTCCTGGGTCTTCCTCTGCGCCTCCTCCCGGTGGGACCTGGACTCCTCACCAGGGAGGCGTCCATCCTGACAGATGCCCCTCAGCTGACTCCTCTCGACGTGGAGGAGCAGCGGCTCTACTCTGAGTCCCTCCTGGATGGCTGAGCTTCTCTCTCTAAGGGAGAGCCTATAGTCACCCGGTGGAGGAAACCCATTTCGGCTGCTTGTATCCGTGACCTCGTTCTTTCGGTCATGACTCAAAGCTCATGACCATAGATGAGGGTGGGAACGTAGATCGACCGGTAAATCGAGAGCTTTGCTTCTTGACTCAGCTCTCTCTTCACCACAACGGACCGGTATAGCGCCCGCTTCACGGCAGATGCTGCCCCAACCCGCCTGTCGATCTCCTGATCCATTTTTCCCTCATTCATGAACCCAGAGATTAGGGCTGTTGTAAACAGATATTTTAGTAATCGAGTAGTCTATCGATTATTCTTACGATTAATCAAGTAATTGGATAAAAAAGATCAAATATTTTTATTACATAACAGCAGAGTTACTGTTATATATCAATATCAGTCCAATGTTTCACATTTGAGCTTCCCTAACAAGAACTTTTATGTAGTTTAGAAAATTAACTTGTCACAATAACAGCTCACTTTCTAAGTTAACCTGAAGCAAAGTTATAAAATCTGAAATTATATTCAATATAATAATAAAGAGGCAGGCTCACAAATAGCCTGTCTATTTGTGAGAAATGTCCATTCTCCAGCTTTCTGTTTATGATTCATCTTCAGTCAGTTTAACAGATGAACTCTCACCTCGCCCAGACATTTATAGTTTTGTGTTCATGTTAGGACCGCAGTGGCGCAACTGCACATTATTCAGGTGGATGCGAAAAAATAAAGATACTTAAACTCCCCCCCACCCCCCTGAAGGCCTTTTCCGGCTCATGGCCTCGGATTTGGAGGCACCAAGTCTCATCCCAGCCTCTTCACACTCGGCTGCGAACCGCTCCAGCTGCAGATCAGGACCTGATGAAGCCAACAGGACCACATCATCTGCAAACAGCAGAGATGCGATCCTAAGGCCACCAAAACGGATCCCCTCAACACCCCGGCTGGTCTACAAACTCTGGTTTAGAAATATCTTAAACAAGTCGTTTTAAACATCAAATGACATGAATATTGAAATTCAAGTTTAAAATACAGGATATGATTAAAGTGACCTTTGACCTTTCAGGAAAAGCTACAGTAATGTTTCTGGAACTTCTCAGGTTTTCAGACAGATGTAAACCGGTTACCAAACGCGACTGGGTTCAGAGGCTTTTACCAAATTTAAATTTACTACCACAGTATGAATTTTTAAAATCTGTAAAATAAGATGCATTAATTCACATTATGTTGCCTGCCAGCACCTATGAAATCAGATGTTTCCGCCTTGTCTCTGCAGTGACCATCATCAGCGGCGTCATCATGTTCGTTCTGTTCGTCTCTGAGCTGCAGTACTACCTGACCAAAGAGGTGAGCTCCTGAAGCCGACCGTCAGATTAACCCGGTCCTCGGTCCGGTTCGGTTCGCCCGCTGACCGGACCGATGCTGTTGGGTTTTATTGGGATGGGAAACTGCAGCATTTCATCAGGAAGTCTGTTAATCGATCAGGTTTTGTTCCTGCAGAGATTTGCTGCTTCCACCTGTTATCAGAGGATTTACAGATTTTTATCTCGTGTTCAATAGAAAAATAAAACTAAAGTTTTCACCAGAACTTTCTAAAAATGAAACATTGGGTCTTTTTCACCAGGGAAGCTGAGTTGAAACCAACTGAAACTGAGTTTAGGGAGCAGCAGCAGTGAACTTTAGCCTCCAGGTGTGTTTCCTGCCGGGCCGGTTGGGTCGGATGAACTCAGGTTTCTTGGAAGGAAATAACTCAGGGTTTAGTTGCGGTTTTGGGCTGAAAAGTATTTTCCTTCTTATGGATTTCTGAAGTTTTTGCTGCTTATGTCCAACTTGAATATGTCAGATGATCAAAACAGTTTTGATATGAGCCAGAGGAGCGGAGTTGATCCACTGATCTGCTTCAGGATCAAATGTGACCTTGATTTAAGACTCTAACAGCTGGAGATTTCCCTCCAGGGTTTTCCTCCCTGGTTTGGACCGTTTTGTTGGTTGCATGAAGTAAACGAAGCAACACATCTGGTAAAACGTTTGGTCAGTTTTGTTTTTCTCTCTCTACCAGAAAATGAATTAGACCAGAGGATTCTTACTGATACTTATCTACCAACCCTGAATAGGAGGATCTAGTTTATCTACTTTGGGTCGACATTATTTATTCATCAGTGTATTGATTATTTTGACAATTAGTCAGATAAAAAAAATTGGAAATATATTAGAAATGCACCAAAATATGCAAATAAACATATAATTAAATTCTTTTTAAAATATTGTCTAAAAGTTGATGGCATTTCTTTGATAATTTGCAGCAAATTATGTAGATAAAATCGTTCAACATGAGAAAAGCTCAGAGTAGAGCTGATCAGGAGATTATTATTGATTAACTGATTAATAACTGGATGCAAAATGTTCTTAGTAGATTAATTTTTTAAGATTTGACCAGGTGAAGAACAGATTTGTAATTAAAGAAGGTTGCTTTTATCTTGAATGCAAAATGTTTGTTTTTGTGCAGCTAACAATAAATTAGTTTACGATTAGTCCCATCATTTCAGCCCGGCTTTCGTTTGCCATTTTTTCATTAGAAATAAACTCAAAGCATTTCTATTAAAGTCGTTTACATGTATGAAAACCCGCAGAGTCGCGGTGAAAGCCGTCTCTGTGGCCGTCTGCTGACAGGACAAACGAAGGGAAAGTTGTTTTTCTGCTGCGTTTCTTTCTCTCAGTGTTTGTTGTGGGACCGTTTAGTGTTTAGGGGAAGTGAACGCTTCGTGTCGTCCTTCAGGTTCACCCGGAGCTCTACGTCGACACGTCGCGAGGAGACAAACTCAAGATCAACATCGACATCATTTTCCCTCACATGCCCTGCGCCTGTAAGTGCTGCTGTTTCTCTGCTGTCTGCGGCTGATGGCGGCCGCCGCTCACCACCATGTTTGTCAGATCTCAGTATCGACGCCATGGACGTGGCCGGAGAGCAGCAGCTGGACGTCGAACACAACCTGTTCAAGCAGCGGCTGGATAAAGAGCTGAAACCCGTCACCACCGAGGCAGAAAAACACGGTACGCTTCTTTCCGTACACAAACCAGTTTGAGTCATTTGCTGGACAAACTGGAGAGAAACTATGTTGTAGCAACCTCAGACGGCGGCGCCGAAATGGTTGGCAATCCAAATTGATGTTTGCCTTATGTAATAATTAATCATTGTAATTAATCATTTCCTATTAATAAAATGAAAATTCTTTAGTTTAGTCAGGCACCAACTCGGTTTTTTGTGAAGGAATGAATTCAGCAGAAGAAATGTTTCACACAAGAAATAACTTGTTTTTTAACCATTTTCAAATAATATAATGATAATTACATAATAATTCAAGTTCATCGTTTCAAAGATTAGTAAACTTTACTTTTGTAAAGAACACTTAACACTGTAACTGGAAGATATTTAAAAAAGTCCAAAATAAAAAATATGACCAAAAACAATAAATAAAAACAGAAATAAAAACCACACACAATCGAAACCTTAAAAGAAATGAAGTCAAAAATATTAATCATCAGAATGGAAATTATGGAGCTCATTTTTATTTTTCATGCAATTGATTTATTGTGACAGGATCACATGGTTCCTCTTAGCCTTTATCATTAGCTTCTGCTAAATGTCAGGCTGTAACAGAACTAATGTCTATGATTAGTGCTTCAGGGTTAGCACAGCTAACTTCAGGGTTAGCACAGCTAACTTTTTAGCTGAAGTGTTTATTCTGTAAAATCCCAGAAGCTGCAGCACTAAAATCAGGTGATCACACTGCAAAAACACAAAATCTTACCAAGTATTTTTGGTTTAGTTTCTACTGCAAATATCCCATTACACTTGAAATAAGACAAAACTAACTCACAAGTAACTTTTCAGCAAGATAAAGGAGCTTATTGGAAGAAAATAATTCCTTAATATTGATGAAAAGAACTTGTTCCACTGCTGGATTATTTCATTTTCAACATGACATTTTTCCCATGCAAAACTGAAAAAAATCCATGAGTAGAACTAGAACTTTTCAGTAATATTATGAAATTATTACTGAAAATAAGCTGCTAGGTCTGCTGAAAAGTCACTTGTGAGTTAGTTGTCTTATTTAAATTTGTTGATATTTGCACCAAAAACCAGACAAAAATACTTTGTAAGATTTTGTCCTTCTGCAGTGAACTTACTGGATAAGAGACTGCATGAAGCTAACGTCGTTTTATAGTCACAGATGGTTCTGTGTTGTTCAGAACTGGGTCAGGCTGAAGACGGGGAGGCGTTCGACCCGAGCACTCTGGACCCGAACCGATGTGAGAGCTGTTACGGCGCCGAGACCGAAGACCTGAAGTAAGAAACGCCGCCTCTGCTGGCCACTGTGCCTGCTGCGATTACTGCTGCTAACTCTGTGCATGTGTGTGTGCATCTGCACGTGTGTGTGTGTGCGCGTGCAGGTGCTGCAACACCTGTGACGACGTGCGCGAGGCGTACCGGCGCCGCGGCTGGGCCTTTAAGAGCGCCGACACCATCGAGCAGTGCAAACGCGAAGGCTTCACGCAAAAGATGATGGAGCAGAAGAACGAGGGCTGCCAGGTCTACGGCTTCCTGGAGGTCAACAAGGTCAGACCTTCACGCCTTGCCAGTGGTGGGCAGTTACTGTAATCTGATTACTTTCTTCAAGTAAGAAATTGCAATTGCAAAAAAAGTAATCAGATTACCTTTACTTCCGCACAAGCAAACTTTGTTACGAAACCCAGATTTTGTTAGGCTCTCATCACATATCATGTGCGTCGTCATGGTAACGGGCAGGTGTTACCATTGGACAGATATTTTGGAGCACAGTATTCTCGTCGCCGAGGCATCCATGTCACAAGAAACGGTTTAATTTGATGAAACTTTATACGATGGAATATGCAGAGGAAGTGATCTGTGTCCAGATCTCCCTGAAAGATAAAAACCGTTTGTGTTCTGGAAGAGGCAGACGGCGATTTCATTCAGCGTTTCTGCTGCTTCGACTCGGCGGCCATGTTTCCTCCGACTGGCATGACAGTTTTAAGCTGCAAAATTGCGAATTAGGGTTGTTTCCATTTCCTGGTTTAGAGCGAATCAACACAAATGTAATTTTGCCAGATGTTGCTAGCTAGCATGGCTGCAACAAACAGGAAGTAGCAGCTGCTTGCTAGCATGGTGTAGGAACGGCTCTTCCCTCTCAGCTGAAGGTTTGGAGTTTGAAATGTTTCAGTTTGGTCACTCTGGTAAGGATGGGACAGTTTAGCTACATCTGAACTTTTCCTTCTTTTCTGGGTTAGGGTTTCCAGGAAAAGCCAAACTTTTTGGCAGAATTGAGACTTTGTATCAGATTTTGTGGTTTCCATCAACCGTTTCTGAAGCAATACTTCAAAATGTGCATAAAAAATGTTGATGGAAACAAAGGATTCCAGGACCTTTAGAGAAAACCGGCCCACAGCATCACGGATCCTCCGCCGTGTCTACCAGCTGTGGTTTCTCTGCCCACCTATAGATGGCGCTGCTGCTGCTGCTGCTATCTTTGCTTCATAACAGAAAGTCTTGGATTTCAAATTAAAAGCTTCTCGAAACGCTGATCTGCTTTATTTTGATTGAAAGTGCCAATAATTGTCCTACTGTTGACTTAAGGCTTTTAAGCATAATCAGCATTAACATGTCTGAGTCTACATATATTTTCTATTCATAGTTATTATTATTTTTCTCATTTGGAATAAAATTGATCCTGAGTCGTTTCACTCTTTGTTTCAGGTGGCAGGAAATTTCCACTTTGCACCAGGAAAGAGTTTCCAGCAGTCGCATGTTCACGGTGAGAACGTTTCATCTAACTGAGCAAAGCCTTTAAACACCCTTTGTTCTGTTTTACTCCAATTTATAGATGCGTATAAAAATCATTGAGTTCAGCAGTTTAATTCAGCTGGAATCTAATTTCTGTTCCTCAAAGCAAAATGAAGAAAATATAAACCGTATAAGATGTTTCTTATTACCTCCATCAGAATAAAGGGTGTTTGTTTTCAAACCTCTGGCTGATTCTCATTTTCATCCATCTGTGTCTTTGTTCCACCCTGAACAACTTCGCGCCCCCTGCTGGTGGTGGCGAGTCTCTACATGTCGCATGAACATCTCCTTCCCAGCTCCTGCAGACTAGCGGCAGCAGCAATTACCAAACGTCTGCTGACCTCATCATATGAACTATTAAAAATGGCTGCAAACAGCATAATCATGTGCTGAAAGAGCAGGAGCCTCTTAAAGAGACAGAGGCCCATTTTTCTGACTGAACTAGCGCCAGTCATTTCAAAGTCCTGCTGATAATTGGATTCTAAAGTGTTAAATATTAAATATAATCTGTAAATCTTACATCATAGCATAACTCCAGATGAAGTTTTGCTGCTTCATCCCACATTTAAATTTGTTGAGTTTTTATGTAAAAGTTCTTATAAAGATATGACTTTATTCTCTCATTATTTTGACTTTATTGCCAACTGTATTCTTGTTATGCTATGAATTTTTTCTCATGATTAAAAATAAAAATCGTAGCCTGGCTCTAATATTTGTAAAGCTGACCTGAATTTAAATCAAGATGGCCGCCCTGGGCGATGACATCTCGCTGAACTATGGAAACCCAGAGAGGGAAAAAAATCCAAAGCAAAAATTAAATATTTAAAATTGATTTATCGATTGATGTAAACTGTTTGGCTGGAAGATGCATAACACCTTCTTATTACTGCAAAAACAAAATCTTGTATTTTTGGTCTAGTTTCTCCAGCAAATATCTTATTTCAATGTCAAATTTATTTATATAGAAATTTTAAAAACAGGTTTAAAACGGCACAAAAGTGCTGTACAAAATTATTTCAGGTGTAATTAAATATTTGCACCAGGAACTAAATTACTTCAGATTTTGTGGTTTTGCAGTGAAAGCTCCCCAAACTGTGGTGTTGCTGCCTTTTAACACGTGTATGAATAATTTTGACCAGCTGTGAATTTTTGACTAAACTTTTAGTTTAAACTGATCCAGAATCAGTGAGAGTTTAACTCCCATGATGCTTCAGCCTGACTGACCCGTCCAGGCCACCGTAGTTCTGTCTGCATAACAAACTGAAGCTCTGCTGCTTCACCCTCTGGGATTAATAAAGTATATCATTCACTCATTCACTCACTGTTTTAGCTGATTCTTCCTCTGTGGCATCAAATCAGGGCAGGAAATTAAAACGAACCCAAATGTTCAGTCATCCACAATGGGTGATTTGAACTGGGATTATTTGAACTGGGATTATTTGAACTGGGATTATTTGAACTGGGATTGCATGGTTGGGCTGTAAACCTGCGGCGATTTTAGTTTCCTGTGCTGAAAGCCAGTCCATGCGACTCTGATTCATTTGTCTCATCGATATTTAAAGTGTCGGCAGCAGAAACGAGAGACGAGAATCAACCCAGAACCAGAACCTCGTTAAGACCCAAACACATCCTGTCCTGGAAAGATGTCTGCTGTGGGTCGGGCTGCACACTAGTTCTAGTTTAGCCCAAAAATAACATTATTTTTTCTTTACATTCTTCATAATTCACAGCTTATCGGTTGATTTTGCTCAGTTTGGTTTTGATTTTAACCTGATTTTGAGGTAAATTGTCTGAAAACTCTTACTTTGGAAAGTTGTGCAGCGCCACCTTCAGTTGTCACGTTTCATGTCTGTTGCACTGTCCCAGTGACTCTTCTCTCTTCTTTCTGCAGTGCACGCTGTGGAAAGTAAGTCCATCTTCCTTTATGCCACAGTGAATGCATGCAGCGTGTTCAGGAAAACTTTTCCCTGTTTCTGCTTTAAACGCACTCAGTGCTGAATCAATTGCGATGTGAAGAAAATGTAAAAATATAACCTAGGTATTAATCTAAAAGTGCATGATTATCAGATCCATTTAGACTTACAACCAGTTTCTGAATGTGATGCGATTAAATTTTTACTTGATAACTAGTGAACGCTGCAGTTCTTGCCCATGAGTCTGACGTTTCCTAACTGAAAAGTAACTTTAACGGAATTATGTCAGATATAAATTTATATCTGTCAAACATTGGAAACCTGATTGGTCCCGATTGGCTTAGAGAAACTCCGATTCAGGCCGCAAAGTGAATGAATTCATGTTCATAATTCACCAAACCATTCTGAACTAGATTCAGTCCCAAACTGAACAAGTTCTTCTATTCAGTGTTTTCTTAGAAAATTCTCAGGAAAGCTTCTCCTGTTTTCCTCCTTTAGTTTTCAGAGGCAGAATGAGTCGAAAGTTACGATGTAAAAAAGGAGGAAGATTTTAAACACGTCAGCAGCAGAACTGCAAAGCTGCTGTTCTTTAATAAAACCGTAATGGTTCAAATCACGTTGACATCAGTTACAAGCGTCCGGACGCCCCTCGCCCCATGGCGGACGCCCGCCCCACAGCATTGTTTTTCCAAACTTTTTAATCGATTGGTTTTGGATCTTGGAAGGAAAACGGAATGAGCTGCAGGTTCCTTCATCGAAGCGACTAAATAAAAAACGAAGGGATTCAAACGGTCATTTCTGCTTTTCAGCTGAACTGAAAACCAAGAAGATTCTTTTGGACCCGATGCGTTTACAGACCAGAGAAAGTGGAAGTTTTCAGGTTCGATAATACAATTAAGAAGTATTTAAGTAGAAAACTGGTTAATTGGTGCATTTTTTGTGGTTTCAGTGTCATTTAAAATGCGTCGGTTTGTCAGATGGTACTTTTACTTTGTGAAGGCCATGATGCTGATCCTGTTGCCATGGTAACCACTTTGACGAAAGGCGATGGGTGTTTTTCCCCCTTAGTTCAGCTGTTTTTTATCCTGAATGATCCTGATTTGGTCATTTATGGTTTTATTAATGCAAGTCTGAATGTTTCTGGATTATTTTAAATAAGTTTGTGTTTTTGTTTGCAGTTCATGACCTGCAGAGTTTTGGTTTAGACAACGTAAGTTTCCACGTTTCTCTGGATATATAAATTTAAAATGCTTCATCTACTCGTAACAGAGGCTTAAAGACATCAGTTCAATTATGAAGCTGCTACTTCTTCTGTGGTTCTGCAGATCAACATGACCCACCTGATAAAGCACCTGTCGTTTGGTAAAGATTACCCTGGCATCGTAAATCCGCTGGATGGAACCGACGTCTCGGCGCCACAAGGTATCGTCCCACTTCCTTTGCTGCCAAACTGCTCATTTTAAAAGCTTCTGATCCATTTTAAAGTTTAATCACATTTATTGAACAAAATTAAAGCGTTCCACATTAATGGAGCAAAACATGGAGGATAAAAACGGGACTGTCATGTGACGAACCAGAACCTTTATTGATAACTAGACAGCGGGTTTGGACCATGTGGTTTTCTGAGTCCCCAGGCTGTACAGTCCGAGGGAGGAAGAGGAGGCAGTGGTCTTCCTCAGCAACGGATTCCCATCCCGATGGCCATGAAGGTGCCAAACGTCCCACCGCTTTGCATCATGGTCTTCCCAATGCCGCCCATCAGCTCCCGGCCCCGCATCCCGATCCTGCAAACAGAAACTATTTTGAGCCCCGATTTCACCAACGGCTAAAACGTTAGCGCAGCCGTCCTGCAAGGCAAACCTCAGGATTATTCCCAGACAAAGGTTCAGTTAGTCAGAAAGTTATAGGATGAAGCTTCAAAAACTTTCTCATGTTTAAACAGTTAATTTTGCTATATTTTACACTTATAAAATATGTAAATAATAATAAACCAGCTTGGGGATCCCCCCCCCCCAAGATACAGTAATTAGTCATGAAAAGCAAAAATATGTTGAGTTTTAAACCTGAATCGGCACCAATGCTGAATAAAAACAGCTAAGAGAGAAGTGGACTTTAACTGGGACACTTCCTTTTTCCAGCTGAATTTACTTTTAATAAATAAATGATTTTCTGTTTGGGTTTATTGGTCCAAACTCACCTGAGACAGGAGAAAGTCCCAAACATGGCGCCTGCAGCCATTCCCACGGCAAAGCCCATCATGAAGCCCATCTTGACCCGGTCAAAGCAGCTGGGCTGGGTCTGGCCGTACGGACCGACAGCGACCGGCATCTGCAACCGCAACAACAGCTCGTTTTAATCTGAGGTTCACTGAGAGTAAAATCCGCTGCATAGAACGAAGGAAACCTAACGGATGAGCACACTGATTGAAAATTAGACTCTTTCTAAATGTGGGTTCATTTCATCTTCATTTTTAATCTTCAAAGCCAAAATCTCTGACCAGTTTGGATAACAGATATAGCTGGACTTTTTACAGCACCAACAACAAAAAGGTCTGAATTATAGATGCAGCAAGAGGGATTTTTTGGGTTCGCACTGTGGAGGATGAAAATTCGAGACGCTTTAACTGAGTTTAAAGTCCGGTATTGACCCAGTGAGGCTCATTTTCTGATCCATGCAGGTCCTTGAACTTTCCTTTAGGTTGAACTGAATCAGTTTGTTTCTCTGCAGTAAAATCTTTCTCTCCCCAGTTTAATCTTTCCTATTGACGCCGCCGTTAAAATGGTACTGAAGAGAAAAAAACCAGCACAGAACATATTGGGCTGATTTCCATCTGCTGTAATTAATCACCTTCAATTACTGTTAAAATACTGTGAAATTATTGCACAATAATTACCTTCCATTGGAAGTAACAAAAGATTAGGCAGCTGTATGAAATATCAGTTGCCAAATTTTAGACTAAAAACTACAAAAGCAAATTATGTAAAATATATTTTAAGCATCTTATGGCAATAATTGAAAAGATTTTGAAATCTCTCATGACTTTGACTGAAATTTAAATTGAGGGTTAGAAATTAGCTCTTAATTCTGTTCCAACTTTTAATGTACACGCCACAAACAATCTGCATCATTTAGTTAAATTATTGTTGTTCCAGTGAAATCCATCTGGAAGTGCTGTCTCTCAGGTACCTGAAATTACTGTAGCTTTCCAAGTGTAGGCCTATCATGATAAATGTTGCTAAAAGATTAATTGTCCCAGAAATTGAGATAAACAACATTGTTTTGAAACAATTTTGATATAAGGGAATAATGCAATTATTCTTAGAAATAAACGTCCATAAATCTAAAACGGTCAATGTTTAGCTTAATACTTCTAACAGAAACAAATTGTCTGTGAAACCAGTAAAGTAATGGACTGAACTTATACAGCACTTTATCCAATCATTTTGACCCCTCAAAGCGCTTTACACTAGTCACATTCACCCATTCACACATTAATACACAGATCGGTAGGCAGTTTGGGGTTGAGTGCCCAGGGACATGTGGCAGGAGGAAGCTGGAATCGAACCTACAACCTTCCGATCACAAGAAGACTACTCTACCCACACAGCCACAGTCAATAAAGTGTTTTTATTAAGTCGGTTTCTGTTTCTGCTCCAGTAAATGACCGCTGCAGTTTGTTGACTTTAATCAGAGGCTTATTTACACTGTTAGCTCCTAACTGCTAACACATTAGCTTCTGTGGGGCATCACCGCTAAAGTCCGCGGATTAGAAGTGAGTGTTATTTTTTCATCCCCTAGCCCCACCGCAGGTTGTTGTGCTAGCTTCCCATGCTAACGTCACCTGTGGCCTCCATAGGTGAGGCGTTCACCTTCAGACCGACTTTTTTTTTTTACCAACACACACCGGAAAACGGGACCGTAGGCCATTTTACCTTCAGTTACTCTGCTGTGATAAATTCGCTGCTTTGCTTTTCTGCTGCTTAAAATTTCTCTTGCTGTTGAGCGCAGCTGCGATTAAATGTCTTTCTAGCAGCAGACCTCCATAACCGGAAACAGGAAAAGGAGAGAAATAAAAGCGGAACAGACAGCGCCCCCTGCGGCCCAGTTTATGATTGCTTATTTTCTATCATTTCTTTTGTTCATGTTCAAGAAGAAACCACCTAATAACTGGGTTGTCATTACAATAACGTACTTTAAATTTTCATATTTTAACTTTGGTTTTAGCATTAATAACATAAAAACAGTTTCTCTATATTTGGTCATTTCAAAAATTCTTAATACATTTTAAAGGTTTTCCTTTATTTTCCTCATTATTTTCTTTTTTTTTTAAATCTAATAGCACTGTGAAATAAAATGAAGCATAAATGGATCCAGTAGAGAAATTGCTTTGTTTACACCAAAGAAATGTATGAAGTAAGACATTATTTGCTGACACTTCTCTCTTTTTTATTTGCCACTTGTCTTCTGAAGAACAAGTAATGCAGAGTTGGGAAAATAAGCAGCCAGTTTCTGAACTGACCTCTAAAGTTGCTCTAAACTTTGTTGAGGATCATGATGGGGATCCAGCCAGTCAGAAGCAGATTACTGGACTGTTTTGGATTTTTCAGTTTTAAAATCTGTTGACAGTCAAGTTTAATTTGCCGACTGTTTGTCTCCACAGCATCGATGATGTACCAGTATTTTGTGAAAATTGTTCCAACCATCTACGTAAAAACAGACGGAGAGGTGAGTTAAACAGCTTTGTGTTTATTGTATTTCTTGTTGGACTCTTTTCCACATGTTTTATGTGAATTTGTTTTTACCTCCAGGTGGTCAAAACGAATCAGTTTTCCGTCACCAGGCATGAGAAAGTCGCCAACGGTTTAATAGGAGATCAGGGTCTGCCGGGCGTCTTTGTTCTCTACGAACTTTCACCCATGATGGTCAAATTCACAGAAAAACACAGGTGAGGTCATGGCAGACGTCCAGTTTCTAAAAACCAGAACGGGGTCGACTGTTGAAATGTCCTGTTTGTCACAGAAATAATTTTTGTCATGTTTTAACACTTTGAAACCACCTGTTTCAAAAATAATAGTAACAATCCACTTTTTCAGCTCAACTGTTAGATGAAACTCAGACTTGCTGTAAATAATAAATCCTTCAGTATAAATGTTAACCGTTTTCTCAGGTCGCTGACTCACTTCCTGACGGGCGTGTGCGCCATCATCGGCGGCGTGTTCACAGGTCAGTCTCTCCTTCGTTCTCATGCTAACTGAGTAGCAGAGGAGCTCACCGCATTCTCCCAACTCTTCCAGTGGCCGGTCTCATCGACTCGCTCATCTACCACTCGGCACGCACCATCCAGAAGAAGATAGAGCTGGGCAAGGCGTCCTAACGATGGCGCCCCCCAGTGGCCGCACAGACCGAGATGCTGAGCACCCAGAGGACAGAAACGGGCGGCGAGACGGGGGGAGAAACTCACCTCTTCTCCATGAACTAGACCTGAAACAAACCGAGAGAGAAATCCAGAGCAGTAGAGCTGTTTGGATTTTCCTATCCGCCGTTCGGAGACGGACGTGCCGCGGCGGCGGAGCGATGGGAGGACACCGCCACCAGGAGCAAGAAGCCGCTCCATTGCTACGCTCAGCGTTTGGTAGGAGACCGAGGAGCAGCAGAGACCTTAGTTTACCCCGACGGACATTTTTAAGCTCAGATAATTTATTCCAGCTTCTCTGACTCGCATCGTTCAGACTGTGGAGCGACTTTTTACTCCATATCTGAAAACAAAGTGAATCCTTCCAACCCACCACAGCCGCTCAGTTTTCAGAGGAAACCCAGGAGAGATCTTCCTGCAGCACCGCCAGGTATTAAGAAAGAGAACAAGAAACTGCTCATTTGCTCATTAAACTACTAAAACAGCTGCTGCTTGTCACTCCTTGCAAAAGCACTACAGCTAAGGTGGTTCTGCACTGCAAAAACATAAAATCTAACCAAGTATTTCTGGTCTACAGTCAAGTGCAAATATCTTCATTTGAAATAAAACTAAATTAACTTTACAAGAAACTTTTGAGCAAGGAAAAGGAGCTTATCTTAGGTAAATAATTCATTAATATTAATTTAAAAATATCAATATTAAGGGTAGATTTAGTTCCACTGACAGATTATTTGACTTGAAACAAAACATTTTTCTCATGTTATAAATGAAATAATCTGCCGGGAGATCTAGGACTTTTTGTTAGTTTTGTCTTATTTCAAGTGAATTAAAAACTAAACCGAAAAAAATTAATTTAGTGTTTAGCAGTGCAGAACCTCCTTTGATTTTCAACAACAAGAAATCGGATTAGTCGCTGGAGCTGGTTGGATGCTGGTTGGATGCTGGTTGTCCAGGTAAACATCCATCCGTATCCAAAGGAAAGGTTCTGCAGCTTCCTGTGGGTCAGACGCCGGGTCAGATCCGGTGCCGTCTGTAGTGGGAGGTTCTGATCCGTTGGACCAGCTGATCATTACAGCTGGTTTCACATGATGCTTCTGCAGGTTGATGGTTAGAACCTGGATCAGAACTCTGAGCCTGGGTTCAGGCCAGTTTAACCTTAGAGGTTGTGATGTTTTATAAAAGCAGACATGTGCACTGAATCATCGCTTTGTTCTGTATTTTTCTGATGATGTGTTAGAACCGGACCGGTTCCGGTCCAGTATTCCCTCTGTCGCTGTCCCCGTCCTCTCGGATCCAGACGATGGTTCAGTTGTCGACGGTTTGCTGCTGCACCTTTAGATCAGGGTTGTGTGTGAGAGAAAGATGTATTTATATTTCGAATGTCCACAAATTGTTTTTAAAGTGACAAAATAAATGTTGAATTAAAGCAGCTGCAGCTTCGCCTAATACTTATATTGACTCTTAGTCTGTTTTCCTCCTGATGGTCCGGTCGACCCGGTTCTACTGGAACCAGAACTCCATCATCTGCTCCACCTCCAGCTGCTCTGAGTCAAACCAACCTGTTCCCCTCCTGGCCTGTGGGGGCGCTGCACCAAGAACTGAAGGAAACGACACAAAAACCTCTGAAGACACTGAGAGAAACTTCCTTCTTCATCAGATGGAAACAAGATGGAGGCGTCAGATTTTAGTGGTTGGAGGATTTCTCTTTAGGCTAANGACCNGGAGCCATTTCTGCTGCTAGCGTTAGGCTAGCACGTTAGCTTTGGTTGGATTTACCCAGAATGCCCTGCGCTGTAGGGCATCCCACAACATCCTTCCTGCTTTCTTCAGTCCGATTGGTGTTCACATTCTGAACCAGAATTCACTTCATCTGAACCCAGACCGAGGTTTGGAGGATCAGAGATCTGAGGTCGATTAGCGTTCACACCTCACCAACCCGACCGGACTTTGATTAGATAAATGGATTAGTGCAAATATCTTGGTAGATTTAAAATAAGACAAAACTAACACTAGCAACTTTTCCCCAAGCTGTAGTTTGTTTTGTCAGTTATTCCTCAAGTTCTTGCTCCACTGAGATTTTTTTCATTAATAAAAAACATGTTTTTCATGTTAGAAATAAATAAAGCTACCTGTGAAACTAGTACTTTGTTTCAGAGAAATCACCATGGTTACTGCATCAGTAAAGGAACCGAAATGCATTTCAATGAGAAGCGGCCGCTAGATGGCGACATCAGTCCAGGAGTTGCTGCTGCTGTCTGACTCACCAAGGAGCAACATGGCGGTCTGAATGAAACGGCAGCTGCTGTGGAAACTTCCTGTCTGGGTGAGAGTCAGAACCACTTAACGCTGACTGGACCGGGTCAGAACCGGGCCTGCTTGACCGGCACAGTTCAGGGAAAGTACTGGCAAACTGGAAACACAATTAAATGGTTCTTGGGTGAAACCGGGCTTGCTTGACCGGCTCAGAACCGATAGCGAGGAAGGAACGAGTTTCCCTGGAAAGAAGAACGTTTCGTGTTATCATCAGGGCCGGCCCAAGCCTCCATGGGGCCCTAAGCCTCCATGGGGCCCCAGCCTCCATAGGGCCCCAGCCTCCATGGGGCCCTAAGCCTCCATGGGGCCCCAGCCTCCATGGGGCCCTAAGCCAAATGTGGTTTTGGGGCCCTCTAGTTCTGCTAACAGTGTGGACCGGCTGCAGTCAGCAGTCTGATCATCAGGTCATTCACACACCTGCTATAAACTGATTGCATCTCTGGCTGTTTACATTTTATACATGTATAATATACAACACATTTATTGGCCACTGATTTACCAACCAGTTGATTTCTGGGAGCCGATTTCCTTAATTTTGGGGGATCGTAATCGGCCGATACTTACATGTGAAGCTGATCTTCATCAGCAAAGGTTATGACTCAGCCTCTGTCCTCTTCTGCTCTGCAGTGAGAGGTTTGACTGACAGACCAACAGGTCTGAACCTTTACAGTTAACAATATTCACCCACTGTGGAAACTCAGTGACTTTCTTGCTACATTTAGCAACATTTCAGACAAAAAACTTCATATCAGCCAAAACCAAAATCAGCAGCTCAGGCTTTTTAAAGATCGGTAACCAGGGATCGGCCAGAAAACTGCAGTCGGTGCAGCGCTACACACATTCATGACATTCTGTGATTAAATTCATTTATCTAAAGTGTAACTCCAACAGCTAAACATGTAATTTATACCAGGTGAGTCTTTCTCCCTTGAGAATCTGGACCGGTACCGGTACTGGACTGATTCTGAGCCTTCAGATGATGTTAACAGAAGTTTCACATAACTTAGAAAAATAATGTTTGTTTTAGCCACAAAATGCTTCTGCTCAGCAGCAAACAGCAAATCCCAGCTACAGCATATAATTTTTACATCACCAAGGCTCATTAAAACAAACCTTTATCTGGGCTTTTTTCTATTCTTCCTCCTTTTTTCTCCCTTCCTGAAGGATAAGTCCTTTTCTGAGACATTGTTTCGCTAACTTAGCTTCTGACCATTTGCAGCTGCTTAGTTTGCTTATGTCTTGGGCCGGCCCTGGTTATCAGTGAAATGATCTGAACTTTCATCAATATTAAGGAATTATGGACTTAAAGCTCTGAGCTTTGTCTTATTTCAACTGGACTAAGATATTTTGCACCATGAAGCCATTTTATGTTTTGGCTCTTTAATGATAACAGATTTTAAAACAAAAAAGTTTGTTGGGGAGGCTAAACTAAAAAAAAAGAAATGAGTCACAATACACTAAATATTTTAGGGCTGCCTGCAACTAAATTATTTTAATTATGGATTAATCTATTGATTATTGTGACAATTAATCGGATAAAACAAAATTGCACATTCCTTTGATCATTCATCAAACGATGAATCTGCAGATACAAATCCTTCAACATGCTGAGTCAGAGTAGAGCTGATCTGGAGATTATTACCAATTAACTGATTAATAACTGGAGGTGATTAATAGATTATTTGGCTGAATGTGAACCAGATGAAGGTAAAACTGAACCAGTGATCAGAGATTCACAGATTAAGAACGTTTTTATGTTAAATGTGAAATGTTTATATTTATGTTCAGTTTTGTCTGAATTTCTGCTCTGTATTGATCTTTATTCTCCAATTAATGATTAATTCAATAATCAATTAATCATTTCAACCCTACTTTATTTAACCCTCTTTTCCATCAGTGTTTCCATTACATTTGAAATGAACCCAAAGCAAGTTCTAACAGTTGTATATCTATAGATACACATATCTCAAGTGGAGCATCACCTTGAATGCTGTAACGCTCCACCTGTGAAGTAAATCTGTTGAATTATGTTCTACTTTCATGTGTTAATGTGAGACAGTTTCGAGTTTTTGTGGATACTAAATTATTTGACGATTATTTCTATAATCGATTAATCACGATTAATCGTTTCCGCCCTAGCAGGTTTGGATGTTTTGCCTGAACTTTGTCCTAGTTTGTAGTTTTAATGTGATCATTTTTAAAGTGCGAATCTTTTTATTAATTACAGTAAAGGAAGTGATCATAAATCGTTAGAAGCTCCTCTGATCCAAACTCACATGTGGTCCCTCATCTCGCTCTGACTGTGACCCCTGACCCCCTCCAGCGTGTCGCCCGGCGGTGACCCCACGGTGACCTTTGCCCTGCTGGTCGTTACCTGCCATGTTAGCCGTCTGGTTCTGATTTGGTGTTTGCTCGCAGTGAGTCACAGATTCAGACTGGAGCCCGTCAGCCGCCTCTCAGTGGTTCACAGGAACGTTATCAGGAACATTTTCCGGCTGGCCGAGGTCAGATGGAGGTCAGAGGACTTTCTGTCTGCAAAGCGATGAAGAACGGAGAAGCTTCATCACTTCTGCCTATCTGGTGGCGTCAGCTGCAAGAGGATGAACTTTATTCTCGCTGCTCCTGAGGTGGATTTGCAATTTTTTTAAATTCAATTTTAAAATTTTCTTTAGTATAAAAATGCTTTGTTAAAATCAGAGATCTAATAAATCATTGAAGGCTTCCAGCCACTAAGTCACAGGATATGAAAATTATCAGTATTTCAGTTTATTCCTACGATATCTCCCTTGAATTCCAACAAAGAATGATAATAAAACACTATGTTGCAAAAACAAAAACTCACCAATTATTTTTTAGTTTATAGTGCAAATATCGCACTTGAAATAAAAAAATAAATAAATAAAATAACTTACAAGTAATGTTTCAGAAAGATCAGGAGCCTATTTTCAGTAAATAATGATTGAATTATGTTAAAAAGTACTAAATTATTTAATTGCCAACATGACATTTTTTCCCCATTCGCACTAGAAACAGAATTATTTGCTTTATGCTGACTCCTGTTTAGATGCTTTTCTGCTGCATCATGTCTGACTCCAGCAGCTGGATTCTCATCAGCATCACTAATCTGAGCCGGAAACATTCATCTGATTCCTGAATCACCCTGGAAACATGGAA